ATTGTTTTAAAGAACACTATGAGCAAATTGGATTAATCATGTTATCAGTTCATGAAGTATTATAATCATAAAGCATAATAATCATTTATCTAAATGTATATCACTTTTACATTTTTTATTTGATTCTATTACATGTTAATGATTTATTTAATGAGACGACAAATATCTGATACCCCTTCACTTAACTGAAGAACAAAGGCATTACAAATAATAGACATGCTCCTCTTTAAATCATTCTATTTTTGATACTCTTGAAATAAGTATGTCATATAAATGGAGATATTGAAAAAAAATAGGAAGATTAGAGAAAAATGTGTAGTTGGTATTTTCTGCCATAACCAATGAGTGAAATAAAATTTCTCAAGCAATGATTGCACTGTTACCTCATCCTCCTCCCCCAATAAACATTTTAGGCTGAAATACAGCGTGTCTATGCGAGGTTCAATAAATACTTTAGCTGATTAATGTCTCAGTGGAATGGAAATTCCATTGAATATAATTAGATCATTTGACTAAAGTAAATTCATAGTCTTTTGTTGCGCTGGCTTGTACTTGTTTAAGTTTAGTTGTAAATACTTTCAGCACAGTATGCTATGAACAACTTCAAATAAACTGATAAAGCAAAGTCACATAAAACATCCAAAAAAGAAAAAAAGAAATCATCTAAAGAAGCACTAATTGATGATGATCTCAAAAGATTTGCCCAGTTTCCTGTTTTTTTACCCAGGGAACAGTCACACATCTGTTCTGTTGGAGATGGGATCTTTGTGGTTTTGTGGAAAGTGAAATGAAACTAGATAAAACCTTCTTGCTCTTTAGCTTGTCTTACTTATTTGAGGTCAAACATAACCCACTTATTGGGCCATCTGCATGATTTCCTCCTTTGCTCATCCAAGTCCATTTTCCAACTGACTCTGCCTTAAAAGTCTGACCACGCTGGGCTGCATGGATGGTCTTCCTTATCTTGCAGGCATTGTTTGTGTACCAGCAGGCAGCTGGGAAATAGGATAGTGGGGTCAGCATTCTCTCCCTGACAAGAGACCTTGAGTTGACTGCATCCTCCTTCATTGGCCACTATATAGGGCCATTTACTCCACAGCTGATGCCCAGGATCCAAAAGGTGTGGGTGGGAGTGGCCATTATCTTCTATATCAATTAACTCACTGAAAAAAAGTTGTTTATTTTTTCCCAAGACCTTGGATCTATAGGCTTGAAAATCCTAGTGCTTAATGAAGACATACAAGTCCAATATGCTGCCTTGAGCACTCAAATCACTAACATTTTCTTTAGCTCAGCAGAGTGATCAGTAGGAAACAGGAGAAAAGATAAGATTTCATTTTGAAAGAGAAGCAAAATTCACTTTGGGAGGCCGAGGCAGGAGGATCACGAGGTCAGGAGATCGAAACCATCCTGGCTAACGTGGTGAAACCCCATCTCTACTAAAATAACAAAAAATTAGCTGGGTGTGGTGGCATGCACCTGTAGTCCCAGCTACTTGGGAGGCTGAGGCAGGAGAATTGCTTGAACCCTGGAGGTGGAGGTTGCAGTGAGCTGAGATGGTGCCACTGCACTCCAGCCTGGGCAACAGAAAGAGACACTGTCTCAAAAAAAAAAAAAAGAAGCAGAAGTTGTTAGAGAAGGCTAAAGAAAAAGCAGTCAAGCAGGCCCCTTCCAGGCCATTCTAACCAACAAATTTTCCATATTGTCTCTAGGTGTTCAGTCGTATGCAGAGCCATGTTTAATATTATGAAACATGATTTCTTTTTTTAAGTAAATTTTAAAATAAAATTCAAAAGTGATGTGTTCTCTATTAGGCCATTTCAAAAGTACATAAATGACATGAATAAAAATACTCATGATCACAATGTCTGGAGATAAGCATTTCAAAGTCTGTGCCCTGTTTCCCTACCCCAGGCTGCCTCTGGCAGATGGCCCACGCAGAGTCAGGTGGAAAATGGACTTGGATGAGCAAAGGAGGAAATCATGCAGATGGTCCAATAAGTGGGTTATGTTTGACCTCCAATAAGTAAGACAAGCCCATTCACAGGACTGAAGGCAAAAAGCACCCAAGACAAAAAGTCAACATGGATTTTCAGGTGGATACAGCAACTTCTAGAATTGTGGTTTCTGTACAATGACTCTTGGGCAGTAGACATTACTTTTTCCATAGTACTTGTATGCGTGGGTAGTTTTTGTTTTTTTTCTTTTTTGGATTTTGAAGTTTTTAATGCACAAAAAGGACATCCCGGAAACAACAGGTATTGACTTATCAACAATGAAGCACTATGGAAGGAGACCCTTCCCCACTCAGTAAATGGGAAAATAGTATAAACAGACATGAAAGGAGGTGACCACTTCAGGATTAAATGCAAACCCTAAAGTTGTATGCAACATTCATATATGGTTTATTATAGCAATATTTTATTAATGATGTATATGGCATTTATCTTTATTGGCAAGATGCTTTTGAATCCAAAGTTAAACAAAAATGCTGAAGAGGTGGTTTTGCCAATGGAAGGTGAAAAAAAGAGGCTTTACCTTGCTTTGTTTCCTCAGAAATCTGCAACCATTATTTTTCTCTTCTAATTTTCTCCTGGGGCAGCCAGGAAGATAATGATAATAATATGGTATATGAAAATATTGCTTTCCAAGATTTCCTTAGATTTTATTCAAATTTTATGTTAACTAGATAATATAATGCTGATTCTATTATCCAGAGTCATTGTATCTCACCCACCTCAGGTATAAGAGAAAATAAGTTGAATTCAAATCATCAGAATAGTCACAGCGTCCATTCATACAACCCCCTGACCCATTAGGTAAAATGAACACCTCAATAATGATGAAAATATCAATCTCAACTCAACAGATATTCATTGAGCCCCTACTATGTGCAGTACAATATATTCTAATAAGATGATGTCAGTGTTTCTATGAATCAGAAATTTAAACCATTTAACTGCCAAATATTAGCTTAGACAGAACTGCTTTGCCTCTGGCTAGTTTTCCTTTGGTGTGGCCAAAATGTCCCTGGTGAAGCTCATCTTAGCCAAAAGAAGTGGGGAGGAGTAAATGACCATAAGTTTGGACTTGTTTTTTCCCAATGATGGTGGTCTGCGCTATGCACAAGGCCACTGTCCTCTCCAGCTGTGTGTGAGTCAAAGTTCTTAGGGAACCATGACCAAAATGTTAGAATTAAATTAATCTGGGATGACCTCTTGTAAGAGATTCTTCATATTTATCTATTCTCTCTACAAACTGTGATAGCCATACTATGATAGATGTAGTGCTAAGCCCTGGATACATAAAGGGGTGTGTGTGTGTGTGTGTGTGTGTGTGTGTGTGTGTGTGTTTTCTTGTATATACAGTCATGCACTACATAATCTTTCAGTCAAAGATGGACAAATTATAATAAAACTGCCCTATACATGTGTAGCGTTTTTTCTTTCACACTGTATTTTTACTATACCTTTTCTATGCTATGCTTAGATACACAAATACTTGTCAGTGTTACAATAGCCTATAGTATTCAGCATAGTAATGTGATGTGCAGGTTTGTAGCCTAGGAGCAACAGGCTAGACCATATATCCGAGGTGTGCAGCAGGCTATACCATCTAGGTGTGTGTTAAGGGCTCTCTACAATATCTGCACAACAAGGAAACTGCCAAAAGATGCATTTCTCGGGGTATACTCCTGTCATTAAGGGACACAAGACTATATATGCGTGCTGGTTGTTATTTGTCTGTTGTATCTAGTTTTGTTTCTTGTCAGATGACACTGGGCTGTCACAATATGCCAAGCACTGGGCCAAATCCTTTATATACATCAGCTCAGAAGTTCTCACAGCCACCCCATATGGTAACTACAGGACCTTTGCTTCACAGGTGAGGAAGTGGAGCTCGAGACGCTAAAGGCCTTGCCACACAGCTCATTCGTGGTAAGGGGAATCCCATTTGGACCTTGACCACTTTGTACACTATACGTTATACTCAGATAATTATTGGGCTGTTGAAAAATCAAGGTATCAGAGCTATTTGAGAAGATGAGGCTAAGAATCATTCATCCCTCAACTCTTTACTGGTGGAAATCTACTTTTCTCTATTTTATATTTGTAAGATCGCATTTCAAGAAAGGGTTTCATGGCAAAAAATAACAAATTAAAACATCACCATCAATGATAATAAATTGCAAAGCCCAAGTTGAACTAGAAGTAACAAAAATTCATGAGAGATTAACAACCATGAGTTATATGCCAGTTGAGGACTTTCATTTTAGTGGTGAATGGCAGCCCAGTAGCAGAAAGGGGTTTAACAAAAGCAACCTCGAGCCTTTGCAGAGCTTATGGTCATTTCTGCCGTGCGTAATGCCCAGCTCGGAGTAGTCTATCAAAGAGTCAGTGTTGGATAAATGAAATCTTAAGCCAGGAAACGATTTTTTCCTCAAACCCCAATCCAAAGTAGACTTTAACTTAGACTCAATTAGTGGAAGTGTTTACAAATTAAGATCAAACATATCTGTCATTGCTCATGGTTAGATCTTGTTGTGTTTGTTACATGCTAACCTCCAGAAAAATGAATGTCATTTAATGTAATGTCCATTTTTTAATCAAGAGAGATAAGAAGATCGGAGAAAACTGATGTGATGCCTGTTGACTAGTACAAAAGAATCACACCAAAAATGTGTGTATATTATGCCAGAAAAAAATACAGTGAGTAGGAGAGGCTGAACCAGATGAATAGACATGGGTGACCTAGAAAAGCTGTTGGAGGGAGAGTAGAACCTTGTAAAAGAGGAGACTAGTCACTTGTACAGACTTATGCAAAGCTTCTGCTTTGAGAAAATATAGAATTTGGCAACTCCACGTAGAGTCACCACAAGAATGTTTATCTAGAAGACTGTTTATAAGCACACTGATGGTAACTGTGGCTTCCCAATTTGTAATCATAAATAAAGACTCAATAAACATTTATTGAATGAGATAGCTATAACTGTCGGCTACTGTGCACCTCCCAGAAGGCACAATAGTAGGTAGCTATGTCTTTTTTCTCCACATTGTGAATGGTGAGGGTAGATGTAGATGTTTCTGGTATCCTATCCACCTCAAACTTGCCTGACGTAATGCCTGATTCCATTCTGACACTGCCATCAGATGAAATGTACACCAGGAGCTGTATGGCTTCACCAGGTCTTTCTCGATACCAATATATAGCTGTCGCAGAAATTGTTACTCCAAACACCACACATTCCAGGCGGGCTGTTTTTGACAGAGTTTTAGTACTGGAAATTTGAGGTTGCTCTAGGTGAGCTGCACCATATACACATACTGGGGGAAAAAATGGGAGTAAATAAACCAATAATGTAGAATTTATAAAAATAGATAACAATAGAGAATATCAGTCCAAAGGTATTGGGGGAGTAAACTACTTACGAGCCCCAAGGACTGCCAGCATTGATTCATGGAGCGGTGACATGTCTGCAGGCACTGTGCTCTCCGCCAGGGCAGCCTGAAATCACCACAGAGAAGCGTTAGACCTCTGTGGCGTGGCTGAGTCCACCAAGTCAAACTTCCCGTGAGTGAGGGTGACATGAGGCCTCCTGCATCATTGTAAAGCGGTATCCTCACCACCTGTGGGCACTTCCAGTCTGTGTGAAGGCAGTGCTACAAGGCCTGCCGCGTGAGCTCAGACCACATAGCTCAGACAGCCACCTCAGACCCCCCGGCAGTCACCCCAGCAGGTTGTCAGGCTGGTGTTGTTGGTTGTCGGGGCTGTGCCATGCAGCACTGTCTTCCGAGAGCTTGTCTTCAACCAGCTGGAGAGATGTTGTTCCATCAAGCTGCTTAGCTCTGCTCAGCTACCCACACAGCCTGCAGCATGGGGTCCTTCTGGTCACCTTCATGGGGCTGGGCCCTCCGTTCCAGTTTGTTTGCTTCTGTTGAAGGTTGAGGTTCGTGTCCCCTCCCTCAGCTACCTGAATAATATATGTCTGCTGAATCCTGGCTTCTCCTCGATGACACAGTTTCCTATTGTCTGTTGTTTCTCTAACCCAAGACAGTTTCATCTGTCCCAGTGTATTGCTATAAACTGAACTTCCCCAACGCACCGTTTAAAAGCTGCTGTGTTCCAGATTTCCATTCTTAACTTACCCACTGGGAGCCGTGGCTCACTGCCACAGCCCAGCATGGCAAGGGAGTATCATATCCAGCTAACTCTTGGACATTTTCAAGTACGTCTGACATGAGACCTCAAACCAAGTCTGCTCATAGCCAGAGTGAACTCATTCCCTTACCCCAACCCATAACTTCTTCCGAGTTCCCACATTGCCCAAGCCGGGAACCTGAGCATCAGCCTCAATTGTCCCCTCTAAGTAATTTACCACACTCCAATTCCTGAGGATTCTACGTCCTAAACATTTCCTGGCTCACCCCTGCCTCCACCTCAGGCACCTCCCTGCATTCCATCTTGGCCCCTCCCACCCACCTTTGCCATGCCCACTAGACTGACCAGGTCAAGTCATTTCCCTACTCTAAATTCCTCCCTCGTTTCTCCCTGCCTGGGAAGATGAAGTCCAGGGTTCTTTGGATAAGAGGCTCTCTATGATGTGGCTACCACCTCCCTGTCCTTCCATCTTCATTCAGTCACTGTCTGCCTAGAATTCCACGATCCACTTCTATGGGTTGACTTGCAATGTGTTGTCTGGACTGCTGTCTACTCCACTTTTCCTGGCTAATTCCTGTTCACCCTTTTGCGCTCAGCCTCAGGCAGTCTTCCCCAGGAAGCTTCCCTCACCCAGGAAGTCCAGGATGGAGATGCTTCAAATTGCTTTCTCTTAGCGCCACCTAGTGCCTTCCTCTCTCCTAGCATCTCCTTCCTGCCCAAGCCTTGGCCTGTTTACCCATTTCCCTCTCACGCCAGACTCCAGTTAGAGTTCCCAGGGGTGTAAAATCAGGTACTGTTTAACTCTCTAAACCAAGTTGTTTGTTGAATAAAGACTGAAGGCGTGAGGGAATGGACGGCCATTGTAGTATTTATTTGTTGTTCGGATATTAACAAAACATCACCATTTAAAATACAGCTTTTAAAGAGTTACCAAGCAATAGACACTTACTGAATGCCTGTAATGTGTCAAGAACTTTGTAGCCACTATCATATTTAATCCCTTAAATTTAGTATAATCTTCACAAGGCCCTACTCAAAGCAGGTCAGGTAATGGGTCAAGGTTTAACACTTGTTAAACCTTGGTGACAGATTTAAGATTCATTCGGTCTGGCTGCAAAGCCTGAGCTCCTTGAGCTTCCTGCCTCTCTGTTTTCTCATCTACTGAATGAGAATAAAGTCATGGCCTACCTTACTGGATGTTGTGAAGAATAAACGTTAGCCCAGGTAGAGTGCTTAGGGCAGTGCCTGACACGGACCAAGCCCTTGGAAACTTATACTTTGCCACACTGCCTTCTGTGAACTTGCCCCAGGTCACCAGCAGTGATGCACCAGCCATGTTCTTGTCTTGCTGAGACAGACTAGCTGGAAGGCTCCCCGACGCAAGTGACTATGAGAGGGAAAGAACTTGGGACCATTTCTAAGAAATAAAAGTTGAGAAGTCTGGTGATGATGACCCTGAAGGTGATATCACTTAAGAGAGATACAATCTTGGTCTCTAAGCTAGTCTATCACCCTGGAGGTTGAGGCTGAAACCAAGTGGTATAATTCAGAGGGAGATCAATTTTGGACACTGTCATTTCCTCTATTTTGGAGATGATGGCTAGGAAATTTATGACCTCACTCAAGGTCACAGCATTCATGAAGAGTAGAGCAGGTGTTGGTGAGGAGTGAAGGTGGAGGTTTGTGGTGGTGAAGGTTCACTGCAGTAGAAGAGTCTCCTCTTGAGGAAATGAAAGATGTTGTTCTGTAAGGAGGTGACTGGGCAGCTTGCTCCTCTTTTGGTCACACCTCAATAATCACCATTTCACCAAATTTCCTCGTTTGGAGTCAAGTGCTGAGAGAAGGGGCAGGAAGCAGAGGGGATATCTTCTCTCTGTGCCCATTCGGTTCTATCAGCACAATTAGAAAAATGAAATGAAGGAACATCCCCAAAACAGAATGAAAGTTTACTCCTCTACTGCCCCTGTCCTTCTGACACAAGCTGGAAGGCCTTAGCCTTGACTTGAGGCTTCAGTAGAGGCTGGAGACGCTGGGCTGCTTCAGAAGGAAGGAGTGTCTTAATTAGCAATCTCAGGCACAAAAACAGAAGTTGAGGGAGGTGGACGATGAGTGAAGGAACATGAGTTTCTTCAGGATGGTTTGGACTTTACATTCATTCATCTTTTTCATTGATGTCATCAAGTCCTACATAAACTTTCAGTCTCCCATTGAAACGCTCTTTGTTTTTGTTTTTTATTTGCATACATTTAAGGAATACTAGTGCAATTTTGTTACACACATAATATGCATAGTGGTAAAGTCTTGGCTTTTAGTATACCCCACAGCTGGATAATATGCATTGTGATACGAAATTACTTAATTTCTGTCTGTACTCCTTCTGCCCCCTACCACCCTTACAAGCCACCAAAGTCTCGTTCCACACCCTATGTCCACATGTACACATTATTTAGCTCCCACTTATAAGTGAGAACATCCAATATTTGTCTATTGCTAAGCTGTTTCACTTTAGATTATAGCATCCAGTTTCCTGCATGTTTCTGCAAAAAACAGGATTTCATTCTTTTTTTATGAATGAATAGTATTATATGTGTGTGTGTGTGTGTGTATGTATATATATATATATATATATATATATATATACACACACACACATATATATATACCAAATTTTCTTTATCCAGTCATCCATTGATGGACATTTAGGTTGATTCCACAGTTTTGCTGTTATGAACAGTGCTGCAATAAATATATGAGTGCAGTCTAATATAATAATTTCTTTTCCTTTGGGTGGATATGCAGTCATGGGGTTGCTGGATTGAGTGGTATTTCTATTTTTAGTTCTTTGAGAAATTTCCATACTGTTTTCCAGAGAGATTGTACTGATTTACATTCTCATCAACAGTGTGTAAGCATTCCCTTGAAAAGGCATTTAAATTCAGCTTATACTTCAAAGAATTTTTTTTCTTCTGCACATAAAGTGGCAGAGGGATTTCCTGTTTGGTGTTGGAGGATCAGTAACACAGGCTTTCTTTTTTTTTTCTTTCATTTTTTTCTGTTAAAGAAAACTGCATTATATGAAGGTAGTGGGCATAGTGTTCTCATTTGTATGGCTTTGCTTTAATACAAAAATCATAGTCCCATAATTTAGTAGACATTTGGCTAAACATCTTCATTTGTCAGATGGGAGAGCAAAAGTCTGGAGAAGCTGGGAATACACACATGTTCCACACGGGGGTGGTGTTCAAGGAGAAGTGGAAGGCGAAGTCCCAGTGTCTCATCCCGGCAGTATTGCATCACCCTGCCATGATGACTGTCCGCTCACATCAGTTCCTGTGCACCCTGCCCATGGAGGAAAATACTGAGAAGCGGGCAATCTTGTTTCCTTTGCTTCCAATTGCTGACTCTATTGCAAAATGGTAACAGTCCCAGGGGCAAGAGCTTGGAAGCTGGAAACAGGAATAGGCTTCTGTCCCAGCTTTTCAAACATTTTGTGGTAAATCTCAGAAAGTCCTCCACCCTTGAAATCTCTTGCAAAATATTATATTTGTGCATTCTTCAGGGGAGATGGTCAGATTCTTAAATGATCAGTCTCTAACAGTACTGTCCAATAGAAATAAATATGAGTCACCCATGTGAGTCATACACTTAAATTCTTCTAGTTGCTGCATTTAACAAAAGCAAAGAGAAACAGGTAAATTTAGTTTTAGTCCAACTAAATGGACTTCTGAATCCACTAGTCCATGTGGCTAGTGGGGCCTGGATTCAGGAGCACAGGTCATCCTGCAAAGGCTTCAAAGACTCTGAACTGGAGCATCTTTAAACAGGCCCCTTTCAACGAAATAGACGGATCTCTGAGTCTGCCGAGAGCCTCATCTGTAGTGGGACCTGGGAAGGGACATCCAGGATAGATGGGGATGCTGAGGGACAGGGGACAGGACTTTTTTCCTTCTACGCCCCAGAGAAATCCAAGGAACCAAGAGTCACTGAAAATGCCCAAGGCCTTGTTGGATTAGGAGGACGAGTCCTTTCTGTGCAGGGCTGGGGCAGTGTGTGGGGCTGCCCAGGTCCCAGGCAGTGCAGTAGTGCATGCCCTTGATGCCTGTCTCCAGCTTCAGCACTGCCGGGGTACAGCTGCTGCCACCCTTGGCTGTGATTGTATATGCTTTCAAAATGGAATCCCACTGCACATCCAACTTGGACATGGCCAGCTGGTGGAGCCCCTCAGGGCTTGGCCCTTCTGCTGCTGATACCAGTGGATGTAGCTGATCCTGGTGCAGGCCAAGCACTGCAGGATGACCGAGCTTCCCTGGTGTCCCAGGACATGGGCCAGTTGCTCCGGCCTGATGAGCCACCAGCCAGCTATCAGAGACAGCAGTGAGGCAGGAATGACCCAAAGCCTCGAAGCCTCTTTGCAGGTCCTCAGGTAAGAAACTGACCTGGAAACAGGACGGCCCAAAGAAAGGCAAAGCGGCTCTGCACGTCTCTGATCCTGACCAGGGGAGAGGAGCCCAGAGTGACATGTTTCAAACTGTGAGCCTGAGCCATACTTTCCTGAGTTATGACCGCGGCCAGCTTAGGGCCTGAACTGCTGTTTCCCTGGTGGTACAAGGAGGTAACTGATGAGAGAAGTGGGGGAAGAAGAAAGAAGTCCCAGAGAAGAGACAGAAATCTGACCACAGGGTGAAGGGAGGGATGACCAATGGCTACAGTTCGGAGAAAGGCTTAAAGAATGTTGATGGCGTAAATAGCAATAATAGCAAGCGTTGGTTGGACACCGGTGAAACTCTGGCATGGCACTAATTGGTTTGTGGTCATTACTTCATTAAATCCTAGGATAACTCTATAGAATAAATATTATCTTCAGTTTAAAAATGAGGGAGTAAGGCTGTTATTTTAAATAGTTTTTCCAAGGCTGTAACAGTTAAGGAAAATCAGAGTTGTGACAGAAGCCAGACCCGGCTGGTGACTAACCTCCTGCTTCATGTAACAATCTTATACTATAGACCCATGAGTGTACTGCTTACTCCAGAGGAAGGAACAAGCAGAAAACAGCAGTTCCTGACAAAAACCCATGCCTACCATCTGAGCCAACATTGGACCGTGTCACTTAGAGGTCCTAGTAGAAGGAGATTTTCAGTCCCCTAAAATAGCGTGATAGCTCTGTAGTCTTGGGCAAGATATTTCACCTCTTTTTCCTCATCTGTAGAGAGGGGTGTCATGGGGCCACATGGAGAGTAAACAGGAGAATGTGAGCAGAGCACACAGCATGGTCCCGGCTGCATAGACCATGCTCAAGAAATACGGGGTGTTGTTGCTTCACCTGGAAACTAGATGGGTTCCAGTAAATGATCTCTGAGGTTCGCACAAAGTAGAAATTATAGGGACTGAGGCAGTTTTCAAGAACCAGGTGTGTGTGTATAAAGAAAGAAGGCTAAGTCGGGCCAGCAGGCAGAGAAGGGCTGGAGACAGGACCAGTTCATCCTCTGCCAGCAGTTCTGAAAAATCAGTTTGAATAAGAATCAGCTCTGGAGGTTATTTTAAAATGCACATTTTCAGCTTTCCTTCCAAGACTGTGTCTTATTGTATAGGGTGCTTCCCAGAA